GAAAAACTTAGCGCATGATTGCGGATTCGCCGTGTTGTATGGCCAAGTTCCGGCGGTGCGGTGAACGGTGTAGTGATTTACCGGGGGAGGGGGGTGTTAGGAATCATAGTTGACACGGTAGCCATGAGTGAGGCTCTGGGACTGCTCACGTCACCTTCCTGTCTACAAGGTCATCTCCTCTTCTCCTCTTCTCTTCCTTTTTCTCTCTCTGGTTACTATAGCGACTGTCTACATCACAATCTCAACTCTCTTCACGCCTTTCTATCAGGGGGATATAGTATTGCGTGGCGTCATAGGCTGTCACTCTACCTTCTTGTGATTTGGTTTCGGATGTGCTATCCGATCGTCTGATAACTCATCTGGTTGGATTTTTCCCTAGGAGCTGGGTATGATATGATAGAACGGAAGGAGGGTATGATAGAAGGAAAAGAGGGTAAAAACGGAATCGACGGATATCTCTGACTTGGTGCGGGGTTGGAAAGCCTTCTGCCAGATCTCAATATTGCCAGAATCTAGGTGTTTATTGGGCTATGGATCTCGGACCAACTGCGCAGGGGGAAAATTGTTTCCAACCCCCTCAAGGTCTCGAGGAGCCTGCGTTTGTAATGTTGGTGGGCTGCGGGGAGAGGGGGGCATGGATTCGCCGGTTGTTTTACTGTGATAATGTTGGGGGAAATGTGTTTCGGATGGCTTGCGGGTATCGTGGCTAACTTTGATGCTGGGTGCTAAACCCATGATCTTGTCCACAAAAAAGTAGATATTAGTAGATAGGGAAACATAGAGAGTTTGAGCAAAAATAAACACTCGATAAACAGTCCGGTATCTAAGCAAAAAAGCGCTACATCCTTCTTCCAGGTCCTTGCCCTCAGAAGTGTTACGGCTTGCGAGAGGGCTCGAGACAGAGCTCCTGGGGAGCTCGAGTAAACCGGGTCAAATGGCTACCGCTAGGCCATTAGTCCTGGCTACGATTATTCCGTCTTTCTTGCAGGCTTCAGGGGCGTCCGCTAACCTTTGGGAGGAGGGTGCTTTGTTTTCCCATGTTAGAAGAAGGTTTGTGCTTGCTTCCTAGAGTGTGTATGGTAAGTTCCCTCTCCGGATCACCTCAGGAATTAGAGGCATTCGTCTTCAAAGACATCTGATTTTAGAGGCTTGTGGTGTATCCTTGCCACTTCAAACTCCGAGGTATGGGTGCTCGCAACCCTCTGACGTTTGTGAACACAACCACTATTGTACCATACACTACTAGGATCTTGAGGCCCCGGGAAATCTTTTGCCCATATGCAATAGTAGTTGTGTTCACAAGCGTCAGAGAATTATGAGCAAAGATTGGGAGGTAGGGCACTCACTTTGGTGACAGTGTGCTTTGCGGGACGCGCAGGGCGCTGTGCTCGGCCTGAGGATTGCGGACAGACCATCTCATGAGTCGGAATTTAGGAGGTTGGGTCTTACTGGGTTTGGGTGATGTTTGGTTGGGACGGCAAACCTTTTTTTTATTACATAGACTTGTTTCTTAGCTCATGCTTTCTGCTATTCTGACTTCGCAGTACCTAATTAATGCAGGGGTTTATGTTTGTTACTCACATCTTAGAGATGGTGTCGGGTGACCGAGACAAGACTCCTCATCCCGTTCGGAGACCTCGGCCAAGTTTAACACCAATGGGTTGCTCGTAGTGACAGTATTTGTCGCTTTGGGTCGTGCAATACCCATTAGCGTGATAAAAGCGTGTGATACTTCTTTGGTACTTGAGCGCTAAGTTGTGGTCGTTGTCGAGTACGCGGTGTCTTTTGGTTGTATGCTATCCTTTAATTGGGCTGTCTCTTTCCTTCATTCCTCGCCCCGGATTTTCCACCCGGTTCCTGGTGGGGGCCGTCAAGGCTGCACCCCTTTTGTGCTTGATTCACTCACTTTCAGCCCCAGTGGCCTTCCTCCAGATATCTGATTCCCCTGCCGTCTTCAGTTGATATGTTACCCAACTAGCGAATTACGGTCAATCGCCTAAGCTAATCTTCGGAGCTCATTCGCTCACCGATAAATTGAGGCGGTGATCCCAATGATTGGCCGATCAAGTGCAAATAACTTGCAGAGTTGTGCTTGTGCAGGTCATTTGGTGTATGGGCTTGTCAGCCCCCAAACATGCATACAGCAGGTGAGACAGAAAATCATCAATCATCACTCGCGCGTGCATTATCACTCACTGGAGGGCACTTATCCGAGTGGTCCCCGGAAAGGCGTCTCTAGAGATTCATGCGTTGTTCTTCGGAAAATCTTTTTGCGAACCACTTGCAATGGACCCACTTGGATAGAAGTGGCGGGACGGGAATCATTCAGCTGCAATTCCCTGACGTGTGCGTGGGCATGACGCCAGTCACGTAACCAGTTTTGCGGGACACACTGGGACACTGGCAGGTTGCGTATGAAGGCAGCGATACCAATCAACCCACCGGTACCTGGAGTTTAGAAATCGAAAGGGTTAATATATGCTATTTCCCCACCGGATCTCATCACGGTACCTACTTTGACCCCTCAAAGTATCAACTCCAGGAGTCCTCCTGGGCATCGATCTGACTGTATCTTGGTCGATCAATTGGCATCGACAGAGCACCAGTAGGTTTAACGCCCCCCTCAAACCCTTCTTTATTACTGCGAATTTCTTGCGATACTGATTTCTGTTGGGCATGAGATCTCCGAGTGGATACGAGAAGGGGATGTAGTACCTCAGGTGTCGGCAGTCCCTGCACTGTATACCCGTACACGTACTTCCACCTTACTCGCGGCGCGTCTGTCGTGCCACAGCGTCCTTGATCACCCCGCCTTGCGCTCGTGCTACTATGTTTCGGTGAAGCTATGATAAACACCCGGCTACGAATCCGTATACTCGCGTCTGCAGTACTCGTGATGCCGTAATTTTTGATTTATATATTTTTTTGCAAAACGGACTGCTATTGCATACGGCAGAGAATCGGGTAGAGCCTCAGAATTTTGGTGGCATGCAATAGCAGTCCGTTTAGCAAACTTCACGACATTTCCCATGTAGGGAAGTGGGAAACAACTCGCCAAGACCGGTATCACATGACTTCAGCCCTGATTTGAATCATACTCGATTGCAAAAGTCCGTTGAACTCGCCATCGTCCATCACCTTACGAAGGTTACGGTACCCCGGTTTATCCCCGGAAATCGTCTGGTCTAGAGTTAACTCCGTTACGGCTCAGTGGTTAAGCATCACAATCATTACGGAGAGGAGAAATAGTTCTCTACATTCTTCAAACTTCCATGGCGCCTGTAACTCGAGCACTGCCGTGGCGTTTGCGAACCCCCTGTGGGTGGCAGCCTACGCGCATTCAAAAAAGCTACCGGTAATCATACCGGCAGTATTCGCCCGCTTGTATGATATTATGCTTCTGCATATTTGGCGTTCCCCTGTCTTATTATACCCCACACCTTAGGTTTCTACCCCCCCCCCTCTATCCCACCCCCCCACATTTGTTCACATTTGTTCAATCAAAGACTTCCCCGCAGTTGTGTCAGGCGATGGTATTCGCCGAAATTCGCCTCCCACAGCTCTACGAGTAATCTGTCCGAAGGGTGATTCGTTTCTATGGCCGTCATAAATTTGATTGATTGCTTGCATTGAGGATTGGCGGAGAGGTTCTTTGTGGAAGTTTTTTTTTCTTTTCAGGTTTTAGAACAGGCAAGGATTAACCCCCCCACCTGCCCCATACCCAAACCGGGCAACTATTACTACGCCTCACACCTGGAGAAACGTTACGAGTGGGGATATTCCAGTACCGGTAGGCTAATTGAATCGGGATGTTACGGTACGGTTAGGGTTGTCTAATAGAACTTACAAATTCACGATGCGCTCGATCTCCATCGGTTCCGAAAGGCAGGTGTTTGACGGCAACCCATATGGGCCTCTAGGAGAAAGCAAAGAAGCAACTTGTTAGCGTGAAGGAGGCAAATCGCACATACTGAGCAGAATAGGCAGCAAAGAAAAGAAAAAAAATAGGAAGGGATGAAAGGCACCATCACATTATCACATCGTAACAAATGCAAAGAGGTTAGGAGCTTAGACCACTGGTTTGGAACCCTTTTCAGAATCTTTCATAACCCGTCGGTTCCGAAAAAGCCGTATCATATCATACCCTCCACCACGTTATCTAGATGGGAACCCAGCGGCTTCTACTGTAGCAACCGCGGAAAGATTAACGATTGCTTCACGCCCTCGGTACCCAACCACCCAACCGGCCCCGATGAATACATTAGCCCAACCAAATGGAAGGGGACAGACACAAGGGACAGACACAACCTGGAAAATGGTAAGGGTACGGAGAGGAATAAGCTGGCGGCGCGATTCCAAATTTCTTCAGGAACCATTTCATCCGTCTTGGAAACCCTTCCCCGATCGATCCGGGGCGAGTACGAGTAACGATTCGTGGAGGAAGGTCTGAGTAAGAGATCGGGGGGCAGTTTTTTTTTTTCACTCGATACACCGAAGCCCCGGGGGGGGAGAGGCAGGGGGGTGGGGCAAGTTTGCGATTCCCAGGATTTTATGTGCTTCACTTTGGGATAGATGGATGGATGGATGGCTGACTGGATGGTACAAGTATACGGTAGTGAGGCGGCAGTATAGTATCCTGTTCCCAGATTTCGGTGGGGTTTGGATTCGTACTGCTGCCGCTAATCTTGGGCTGTGGTTTGGATCTTGCCTTGCTCTTTGCCCTTTCTTCTTGCCACGGTGGATTGTTCCTTGGTGGTGATGGCTATTGGTTACTACTGGTTCAGCGCGCGGCGTTAGTTTGTATGTGTTATACCTACCTACACACGGCACCCCACGCTCGATGCATACGGGCACGGGATGGGGAGTTAAAAATCTAGATGGGTACTGTGTATCAGGATTTTGCAATAATATTTGATGACTTGGATTGGATTTGTGTGAGGATGGTTGGGCTGTTCTTGGTCACTGGCGCTCAATTCAATTCAACTTTTGGGGAGGTAAAATTCTGTTGAGATGGCTTCAAAATTATTTTATACAACTAAATGGTAGTACCGGTATACCAACTACATGTCCCCGTTCCCCTTCAAACTAACCGACTCAACAAACAACCGTGGGTTGAGTTATGCCTTCCAATAAGGACCAACTCCCATGCATCTTCGGATCGTCCTCTCCGCCCCCCCACCCCCCTCCCTTGTTTTTCGATGATTTTTTTTTTCTTTTCCCCATTAAAAAAGAAAGAAAGAAAGAAACGTGGGAAGAAAAAAAATAAAATAAAAATCGTAAATTAGGTTTTGGAAAAGGAAAAATAGATGATACAGGTCATAAGCTATAGAAACAATGTTTCGCGAGATGGAATGGCAGCGCTGATGATGCTGGGATATGGATAGATGGATGAAAATAAAAATGAAAAAAAATAGTAGAAAGATAGAAACACAGCTTCTTTTTCTTGTGCAGAAAACAAAGGAAAAGCCGTCAAGCGGTTGGCCGTGGTAATGGCTTTAGTGAGTTGGATGGTGGAAAGGAGAAACAAAAAGCTAAGCAAATGCCCCAAACTCCCCCAGTATGAAAACGGAACTGCAGCACGGCTAATGTGCACCCATAACCGCCCCTCCCCGGGCTACGAGAACCTCCTCAAGGACGGCGAGGTGTAAAAGCTCTCGGTGGAACTCGGCGCAGCATAACTCGACCTCTTATCCGGGCTGCCCGGGAACAGCCGTCTGTCGCTGGCCCAGCTATCCTCGCTGCTCGAGGACCCCCTATCGTCGCGATAGTCATCCCTACTGTATCCCCGCTCCTCTCGCCAACCATTCCTCTCGTCCCGGTAGCCAACGTACCTCCCGGACCTGCCACGCTGCGGATTCGCGCTGATGCTGAACTGCCTGGGAATCGAGGCCCTCGGCCCGCTAGAGTGCATGTGCGCCGGATGCCCTGTGTGGTGCGGGATCTGGAACCCGGCGGCGGAGTGCCCTTGATGGACTATCGGCCCAAGACCCCCGTCGAAGAGGATACGTGGCTGGTTGTATCCCATTTCACCGCTGCGCGCGCCGAATGGCCGGCGACCCCCACCAGGGGCTACAGAGCTGGGGCGATTAGGAGTGTCGATGCATCCCATTGGCCTGGTTTGGATTAGCACGGGCGGGGGAGTGAATGATTCCCGGCGGAGCGAGGCGCCCACGCTTTCGTAGCCACTGTCGTAAGGGTGTGGGTCATGCTCTGCTATCCTCACGGATTGGCGTTTGGATGGCCGTCCCGAACTCAGTGTGTAGTGGGAGGAAGGTTGGGCGTAGCGGCCGTAGGATGAGGATGACTTTTCTGACATCGAGACTACTCGGGGTACGCTGCGTTCTTCGTATGGGTACTCTTCCGGTCCGCAAAAGCACATAGTCTTTTGGCTGGGGAGACTGGAATATATGAGCGCCTGAGGGGCGGATAGGGCAATTGTTGTGGTGGGGGGGGGGGAGAAGGGGAGAGGGATAGCTTTGAGGAGAGGTGACCTGATTGATAAGACCTTTTGTTATGGTAGCAAATGGCTATTGACCTCGAGGCTAAGTCTTGTTTGTGGACAGAGCTAATCCTGCAGACTATTCGTCGCTCAGGAGGGGGGTTCTACTGGATCTATATCCTTTCGAGCTTCGGTAACTTGAGGAAGGATTTCGAGACAGATATTTCTTTCTTTTTCTTTTTCCTACTCTCCTGATAATTGCCTGCGATTGGCTCGGGGCTCAGCTGTAGGGATGGCCCCGGGGGGCAGGTTAATATCTGAGAAGGGAGAATACTAGACGCGCATATGAGAAGAAGAGACGGTGGACTTGCGAATAGGGCCGCATAACCAACCCCCCGCCCCCCCCTCAAAAGGGTGCATCGGAAGAAAGCAGTAAAAATAGGGCGATATAGATGCAGGTTTGGGGCCAAAGTCAGATTGGTAGAACCCCAAAACATGCGAACCTGCCCAACCATACTTCGCCTTGTTGGGTTATTTAAAAAGATACGGCGTGAAAACGTGCCGCAAGTTTTGTTCACCTGAATCATCCTGGAAACTAGGAAACGAGGAGAAAAATCATGGGAGACATCTGTACCTCAGGAAAAATAGGCTCAACAGTTTCTCCTAGCGTGCGCTGTGCGAGAAAGGGCCTGTGTGTGTCTTTGTTGGTAGGTTTAACTAATTGCTTCTGTAATTGGCAGTGAAGTACCGGTATCTTTGACGATGTTGATCATGGAGGAGGTCGCGCAGGCACTCGGATGTAGAAAGCGTGGATCAACCGATTTCCCTGTTGAGCCTGGGCAACCGACCTCCCCTTATCAACAAGCGAAACATCGTAACACAAAGTTTCAACCGGAAGAATTCTCTATCGCAAAGCTGGCAAAAAAGCCAATAGAAAAGTGACCAAAATCTAGACACGAGGGGAAGGGAGGAAGGAAAAAGAAAGAAAAAATGAGACGAGGGAAAAAAAAAGTAAAGAGTGGAAGGTAAAATACGACATGAGAAAAAAATGAAAAAAGAAGAAGAAAAAAAAAAAAAAAAACAGGAAAAAAATTCCACCCAAGGTGGTTTACCCTGATCTCAAAACATGGGGTTATGTGTGGTTGCCGCGCGTAGGCTTGCTCTTTGTCATGCGACATTCCTCAAGAGCTCTCATCTCATTGGCGCTTCAAACATGCAAGTCCCAAGCGTGGGTGTCACGGCCGCTCTGGCTGTTTGCATTCCAGAAAATCTTGCAGCAATAGGCAAAATCGCTCAAGTGAAAACGCAACAGAATATATTAAAAGAGTTTTTCCCTACTCGAATACCTGTCCCTCGTGAGTTCTCTTGCTTCCTGCTCAATTTCCTATGCAAGGTATAAGAACACCCGAACAGACCGCTATTGATGTTTTTTTTCCCCTTATATTTTATGATTGTGTGACTGGAGAGGGGCAAGCGGGACGAGGAAAGGGTCCCCAGGCTGAGAAGTTCCTCCTGGGAGGGCTGCATGGAAGAAAAAAACCCCTTTTTAGGTTATAAAGTTGAGCATTAGCGACATTCGGGAGAACGCATGTGGTCATGCACTATCGTATGAGGGAACCCGATAGTCCTTTTAATGCACCTCGGTGCCTTTGAGGTGGGGAGTTGGAAGGAGGGGGGTGCGCCCAAGGGAAGTTCCTATCTTTTACCCTCTCTAGACGTCATTCTATGTGGGAGGGGGGGTTATCTTCGTTGATATGGTAGACTGTGAACAAGCAGGACCTACTCGTAGACATTGCGCCTGAAAGTTTGGTGCCATGGTGTTCCGTGGAAGTTGAGGCGGATTACCAGCATGATAGGAGATAGTGCTGCAATATGGCAACACAAACTGCTCAGCGCTTCAGTGCTCCACGGTGTATGGTGCAAGGTCGTATATTCGTACTGAATTTGTGTTAAAAATCCGAACCAACAGTCCAACGTTTCCGTTTTTTACTCCTCTTGATGTCTTCCCGACCGGAATATTCGGCCGAGGGGTAAGAGAGATAGAAGAACCACCGGTAGTTTGGCGTGCTTGTTCGGATGATACTGCACCCCGGCGAGCCCGACCAAAATATACACACCCTGGAGTTTGAATGTGACCAGAAACCAAGCAAGCTGGTAAAGCCAATATCTATGGCAATGCATGAAGCCCGTACTGCACTAGGCAGGGGGCACGCCCATAGACTCCAGAGGCTTCTGCGTACGGTTCAGATACCGTATCATATCCAGGGCACAGCGCCGCAAGGCGCTGTGTGAGCGCTCGTAGCACCGGCACTGTTGTGTGTGCCGGTGCCAAAGCATCAGCTTTCCATGCAATTCTCGGGAAGTCGGTTTATGGGATGCATAATATTAGAAAATTGTTTATGCTATTGGGCAGCTCACACCATTTAGGGAATAGATTACCGGTAACGGAAACCGTGCATCTTAGAAAATGTATTGTCGGCTAGTTTATTGGGCGGTTTCGGAGGGCTAGCCCTAGAAAAAAAGCAAAAAACGATTAGCCCATCCATGACATGACAACACCAATCACAGGTATCTGAGAATCTCATAGCCTCTCACTCGCCCCTTGAATTGGGCCCAATTTCATCTGATTGGTTGAAGGAGGAGCATCATCTGGACATGGATCATACATGACAAGACAGAAGGGGAGACTTAGGGTCACCCGGCGAAGCAAGGACTTTCCTTACCGTAATTCTCGTGATAGTGATGGACTAATCATTGATTTCCCTTCGAAATACTCCGCATCAGTCAGCTCAATATATCTGGCGCTCGCGAAAGTAAACACATTACGGTGACTGCTCAACAAATCCCAATTGAAGGATCCACACCGGAGGGAAGCGGGATCTTATAGATCGGAACCTAGCTCAAGATCGAAATTGCGCTATAATTTCTAGTAAGGGAAAAGAAAAAAAAGAAGACAAGTTAGAGAAGCCGAAAAAGAAAGTACAGTTTCCATAGTGGAAAATCGGTAATCGAGAAACAGAGGCTTTGGAGTACTCGAGCACAGCGATTGACGCAGATCATCGGGGTTGGTAGGCTTCTCCAAGCCGTTCATGGCGCTCGGTACTTAGGCACGGCGTTCTTTGTTGGGAGGCGACTGCTGCATAGTTCTCGGTAAATGTGTGGTACGAGGTTTTGGACCTCCCGCTGACGCGCTCGGGAAGTCGTTTTCTTGTAACAGATATGGTCAACCAACAGCGCTAACGCCCTCGAGATAGATAAGTAAATCACTTAGCAGGAGATGAAAACCAATAACCTTCGGCATGCTTTGTCCTCAAGAAGCTAAACTTGAGCCGGAATATCAAACCTCATGCCGGGCAGCGCTTTCCATAATTTGTACCTGCAGCAGGGGCTGAAGACGCCACCAACTCAAAAGAAGGCACCTATTTCCAGAAATACACCATTGTATACCACATAAAAGAAAAAAGATACGAGAGTCCTTGGCGGATAATAGTACGATTAACTAAAGGCAAAGATATAGGGGACTTTTATCCAACTCCGGCAACCCAGTTGCACTGCTCTATTTTGCGGGAAAGGGGGAAACTTTACCCCTGGAAAGCCCGAGTCAAGTACAAGCCCTATTGCATGATAATCCCGTTTATGGCGTGCCGGCATATTGAGCAGAAGCACCAACATGAGCACGACAGCAGCAACGGCGCAGCGTATAATGGCCTCTCAACGGTGTCTTCTCCCCTCGCCCTGGCACAGCGGCCGATTCTGCATCAAGAAGGGTCATTATTTCTCGTTTGTTTCAGCCCGCAGAGTTTTTTCTATGGGCTTTGCAGAAGTTTTGAGGGGATTTCCCTTTTGTCGAAGAAAAGGTTCCAAAGTGAGGTCCAGCTATGCGAGAATTGCTAACGCAAACTCCAGAGATGCTGCTTTGCAAGAAACTTGGAGAAACCTAACGACACACGGCAGAAGGAATGACATGTGGTGCTTTCGTCCTGGTGTAAGCTTAGGGTGCACCTTCCGCACGCTTCGATAACCAGAATCATCCGATTCGGCGGAACAGAAAACCTAAAATTACGGGAGAGTATTACTGCCTCAGCGGGGCTTTGCTAGCCGGACAATACCCTATGGGGAGTGTCGCCCTGTGGGATAAATATGGGACCTTACTCCTGCCGCCGCCCCCCACTCAACCCAACATTAAACCAGGACAGGACACGAAACTGCAAGACATTGAGGGGGAATGGAGGCACCGCATGAGTTAGGTTTTCAGCTGCAAAGAAAACCACCCGAGTCAGGTGTCTTGCCGATCCTTGTATGCGAGGATAATGTGTCAAATGAAGGAAAGATCAGGGGTGGGTCGATAAGAGGTGAGTGGTGATGGGTGTAGGAGATAGTAGAGCGAGTATGGTGCCTGCTGCTGCCTGGAGGGTAGAAACCTAAGGTTAGGAGTTCCCGAGTGAAGAGCAAACCTTGTGATACTTGGTATCACGAAAATTGTATTGCAGGGGGTCAGGCCCAATAGCGCGGGCAAGGCTGGGAGGAAAGTTTTCTAACCTTATACCGAAACTACGATGCACCACCATTCAGGAGGAGGGGAAAAAGAGATCTTACTAGCGATGTTGGCACCTGTATATCATGGGCAGCTTTCTCTGGTTCCAGGAGGGATAGATTAGAGTCATAAAAGGGAGTGAGTTAGGGCAGTAAATACGTACCTGTATAGTGCTGGCATGTCATAACTAGGCAAACATATGCTTAGCAAACAAAGGGGAAACCCGGGGACCTGCATGCTCCTCTACATCTGCCGATGACACAACGTTTAATAGTAAATTATTCCACTCTGTGTGGATACCAACGAGAAGGTTACGAATGGGTTCGAATACTCTGGGGGGCCTTGGGAGACTAATTGCTAGGTCCCAGTATATATTAAGAACCTCCTCAGGTGGCTAATGAAAGCAAGTGGCCGGGAGCCCAAAGTGACTTTTTCAGGAAAAGGTCAGTTCTGAGAGTTCCTCCCGGAAATTCACTGAAACACCAACACCAAACACACGAGCAGAGACAAGTGAGCGAACCCGGAAACAGCGAATATGCTAAACAACATAGCTGAAAGCAGGCCAGTCGAACCAGGTGCTGGTATACTTATTTAACCCAATAGGGGCCAGAAATTAACTTACCTGTTAAAAATATTATACAAGACTCCTAATCTGACTCCGACGATAACTGATATTTTACGATGGGGTTCTGAAAGTAGGTCCCAGGATGCCTCCTTGGTGGTGTGCAATATTCCCTTTGAAAGCGATTCGGAAGTCGAGTGGTTGGTCCCTATTCTGTTATATTTGGGGTTTTGCCAAAAGCCGACAAGTTCGGTTAAACACCTCCCTACTCAGGTCGATTAATAGATGGTCAAATTTTAGAAGGCTATGATAAACTCTCAATTTTTTTTTTTTTTTTTTTGTTAAATCATAGAATCTATTTGCTTAAAGGTGCAAATCTCCACTATAAGAGCACAGTCTGGCTAAAGCATGGATCCTAGATACAAGGGCATCTCTGCAATAACCGCCCCACACCCCTGATTTAGTCCTTAGACATGCTGGTCAAAAACCTCCTCCATAGGCGTAAGGGAAAACAAGCCAGCCCAAGTCCCTCTGGTATGAGACCAACTGCACATCTACCCCCATGTAAGCTCCTTCTGCACAAAACAAAAAAAGCACAAAACAGGACCAGCAGGAGCCAACAAGAAAACCCACACCATATTCTCTTGAGAAAGAAAACACAAAAAAAACCCAACAAAGGAAACCACCTTGA